AAAAAAAAAAAAAAAAAAAAAAAAAAAAAAAAAAAAAAAAAAAAAAAAAATACAAATCTTTTCAAGACAAGATGCACTACCTGACCTCCATGGCCATCAAATACGGCAAATAAGGAAACGCCCGAGTCGGTTATATCCTTATTTATGACAAATCTGTCTTCCATGTGTGCTCTGTGACCCTGCAAAGCGTAAACCGCTACGTTATCTTTCAACAGTTCCCAGTCAGCTTTCTTACTCGAGGCATTGTTTACGAGAAATTGAAACTTTGAAATCTAAAAACAATTATTCATGCTAAAATTGGTCAATTAAACAGCATCAAATCATCCATTTACATTAATAAAGAACTTGAACCTTTGAGGTTGCCTGTTTCAGGCTACTTTGTATCTTTTGTAATGCAGTCTGGCTCCAGGGGTCAATTAGTCTTACATAAATGAATACTAGAATAATTATCAGGCATGTCACCATCAATTCTGGTTTGAAACAATAAGTACCAAGTATATGCCACAAATGATTTATTGATGCAGTGATCCCCGCTGTGGGTAATGTACCCACAGCAAATTTTGACATCAATTTAACGTGTGACAGATAAGTCTGAAAAATTAACGATGATGATCATGTATTGTAAACCGTGTGTATATCTTTTGCTATGGGCAAGAATAACCCTTAAAATTAAGTGCAACAAAGAAAACGCAAAATTTTCAACAAAAGGAACAGAAAATGATATTACCTGGTACAAAATTCTATCTTCCAACTCGTCATCCATATTTTGATTTTTTCTTTATTTCAATCAATTAAAAAAATACCATTTTAATATAATGCAAACATGATACAATATAGAGAGCACTCAACGAATCACAATTAGCTTGCGCATTTTTCTCACTGCACTCTAAAATATATTAACCTGTCAAGTGTTGTTGTTGGGTATACATGGAGAGAAAACACTATACTAATACTAATCAATAGTACTTGAATGATAACAATGTGTTGTGTGATGATTGATTGACGTAAAAGTATAGGTGAACTTTGGAAGCTCCCGCATCATCATATAAGAGTTATACTTATAACACATTAACTCCTTGGAGAGAGGAACAGAGACATGATCGTGCGTGACGCACGGAAATAGACTGAATTCTGCTGCGATAAGTACACGTCAATTATTAGATTCGTTTGGGGGGCGCTTAATGCTTACTTATCAGTGCTCTCGAAAGTGGCGAGCTCACCAGAGCGGCTCTCGCGAGTCTCATCAGATTAGACGTAAGTAACTAAGTAAATAATAAATATTTATAATGGCCAAGACCATAAATATATAGATGTACCGGCTGTAGGAATTTGCTCGGAGGAGCTCCAAGGCAAACTCCAAACGAACCTATATTGCGTCAAGAGAGGCGAAAAAGGAACGACAAAAAATTAAACATCTTTTATTTTGTACGAAAAAATTTAATTATTTATCAATGTTGTTTTGAAAAAAATGTTTTGTACAAAAACTTAATATTCGCAGGTATTTCTTCCAAACTTTTTCTTTAATCGATACTATCGAGCTCTTCTATAAACATTTTACATTTTTCTTTTAGAACCTTGACAGCTTCTATGAATAAAGTTGCACTAGATAGAGCTCCAATGGATTCGATAGTGACTAGATGACAAAACATGTTATGAGGGAAACTGAGTATCAATTCAAACAATTAATTAATGATATACTTACAAATGTAGTGGTCTGGTACTCTTCCCAACTCGACGCAATCTTTCAAGTCGTGGTGACGAAACACATTTCTAGAGCAGCTATCGTATCTTACATTTTTTATTCTTGCCTCTGGGCCTTTTAAAGTTTCCACTACTTCTACAACACCTGGGCTGAAGCAACTTTTAAGCCTTTCTGCGCCTTCTCCCCTGACTGGTCTCACAATTTTTATGTGTGGTAACAATCTGTATGATGCAGTGGCTAAACATAAGTTTAAAAATTGCCACAGGATGAGTACTGCGTTACTCTTGAATTTTTCTTCTCTTAACCTTACCTACAGGGGAAAATTTTGCGTGGTCTTTGCCAATCCCCTTGACCGCATCCATAACTGCATGTATCTCTTGATATGGTCTCATTTTACATAATAAAATATTATCCTCAATCACACCAAACAGTTTATCTCCCTTGGGATAAAGATCTCTCTGTTTACCAACAGCGATCCATTTGATGTCTTTACTGTAAACTGTGTCGCAATGGTAACACATACAAAAAAGAGAGGGTGTGTCAAAAATAGAGATGAAACGGGGGAAAAAAAAAAAACATTATTTACAATTTGCTAAAAATTACCATTATTTCCAATGTAAATATCGTCTGGCCTTCTTGCATCTTTCGGTGCCAGTTGATTCCATCTGCACGTTACCTTTAATTCATATCTCAACGTGTCTTGATCGCTGACTTCGTCCAACTCACCAGTGGTCGAGGTGGTAGTGGCAGGTCTTGAAGGATACTCAAATAATCTTGGATCCGCCTTAAGGGGTACGAGTCCTAATCTACGTCAATACAACTCGGATATAAAATTGTCGATGGGACATTAATTTGCAAAAGTTTACATAAACAATGTTTAAACCTGTGTGCAAATACTTCGTCTTGAATTATACTTGTGTTATTGTACATGTAAACTTTGTCAATGGCCATTGAAGGCACTTCGCTCAATAAAATTCTTCTAAAGGCATTAGCTAGAGCAGCTGAACATCCAATCAGATCAAATTCCAATTCATACTTGTCCTTGCTTTCGTTAATGATATTTATTTTAAAGTCCTGCAAATATGAAAGTGTTGATATGGTAGTGCGGTAACTTAACATTTATTGATTTATTTAATAACTTTTGTCGTCTTACCTCTTTAAACTTATCAAAAGTCCAGTATCCGTGTAAATGCAAAAGGTTAGAGAATTCAAAAGACTGAGGAAAAATAAAGGAGATTATGTCACTTTTTTCATAATATGGAATAATGACAAATGACTCACGTTGGGCATTGCATGCTCTTCCATCAGGACAAGTGGTTTTTTTGTTTTTTCCATTATTGATTGGTACCTATGTAGTTTAACCGAGTTTATGCACGAAAAAAATCCCGTGATAAATTACCGTCTATTCAATACGGGTATTTATTTCGAGGTTAAACACACGATTTTAAATCAATCGCTTTTTAGAGACGTTTCTCTTATTATTATTATCTTGACAGAAACGCGATTACCAAAAATAGCTCCAACTTTGAGCAGTTTTAATATAAAATCAAATTAAAAATAAATTTGTTAACGAAAAAATTTACAAATTAACAAATCTCTTAACACACAAAAAATTTCACTCAGTGTGCGCGCTCACCACCACACCCCCAGCGGCAGAGAGGAGAGAGTATACCAAGTTGGCAAGTAGGAGAACTAGGTTGACAGCCAAACAAAGAGAGCACAACAATATAAATCACGAAACACGGAATCACGAGCGCATTCAGCACAAAATAGGTGTATAATAAATATATTGTTTATTTTATTTATTTATTTATTGGATAATAAGTAAGCCCAAAAGTATGTATGAATGACAATTATTAAAACTTGCAAAATTATTTAATAACTGCGACCAAACAATGTATAAGACTTGGGCTTTGCTTGACAACTGTGATGTATACAATCGAGTTTTTTAATTTCTTCGATGCTGCCATCAGGCTGATTTGTTGGAATACATAAACTTTTGGCTCCCATCGACGGTGCTCCTGGCTCATCACCGCCATCATCTCTATAAAATGCAATAATAATTAAACTTGATGAAAATAATGTGTATATATATATATATATATTAAAATGCAGACCTAACGCTGTCAGCCTTGATTTTGTCCTCGCATTCAATCCTCTCGCAGAATGGTGCAAGAATAAGATTTTTTTCATCAAGATACTTGCAAAATTCATTCCAGCTGTGAGTTTGCTTAATGTGCTGCATCAGTTGGTTTCTTGCTCTATAAAATAGTTATAAATGCGTTATACGAGGCACGTTCAACTAGTGCACTTGAAATTGCAAGAAAAATAAACTTACTTTTCCAATAAACTGGCTTGGATTTGATTTAATAATTTAACGAGAAAACTATAAGCTTCCGCTCTGCTGGCTACCGTTCTTTCCAAAGTATCTCTTCTTACAAAAGTAACTTGACTTTTTTCCAAGTCTTTTGGACCCAATTCGATTCTTACGGGGACGCCTTTTAACTCCCAGTGATTAAACTTCCACCCTGGGCTATAATTATCTCTGTAATCTCCCTTGATTCTGAGCTCTCCCCTTTTAATGAGCTCTTTTTCCAAGTGGTTGCACTCGCTCATTAACGTGTCCTTTTGTTCTTGGGATGTCGATGCCGTGATTCCGCAGGGAACTATGATGGCTTGTATCGAGGCAACTCTTGGAGGTATAACGAGACCCTTGTCGTCACCGTGAACCTACAATTGACAAGTGAATCGAATGCTCGTGAAATTGGTGTATATTATTCATCTTGGAGTAAATCAACGCATCAAACAGACCATTATCATGACACCGATGGTTCGCGTCGTGATGCCCCAAGAATTTTGATAAACAAAAGTCTTGTCACCACCTTCGTGGGCACCTTCGATTTGAATGTCAAACATTTTGGAAAAATTTTGACCCAAGTGATGACTAGTAGCACCTTGAATCGCACGACCACTCGCCGAAATATAAGCCTCCACGGTCAAGGTGTAATCACCACCGGCAAACTTTTCCTTCTCTGTTTTTCGGCCTTTAACAACCGGTACAGCTAAAAAATCTTCATAAATCTGTGTGTACAAATCTAAAATTTGCAACACTTCTTCATCAGCTTCGGCCTTGGTGACAAAAGCCGAATGACCCTCCTGCCAGAGAAACTCGCGGGTGCGCAGAAACGGTTGAGGATGTTTAAACTCCCATCTCTGCAACGATGATAATAATAATAATTATAATTTTTAAACATTAATAAACATTATATACGCGCAGTACACGTACCACTACATTGTTCCACTGGTTGAGTTTCAGTGGGAGGTCGCGATACGACTTGAGCCACTTTGCATAAGCCGGATACATGACAGTTTCGGAGGTGGGGCGAATGGCAATGTGCTCAGCTAGATCCGATTCACCGCTCTTGGTCACCCAAGCAACTTCGGGCGCAAAGTCAGCAATGTGGGTTTTTTCTTTTTCGAGAGCTGCCTTGCTCACGAAAATCGGAAAATAACAGTTTTGAACACCAAGCTTTTTTATTTCCCGATCGAAAAAATCTTTGATAGAGTCCCAAATGGTAAAACTCCAGGGACGTAGTATGTAACAACCCGAGACGTCGTAGTACTCTATCATTTCCCCCTTTGTAATGACTTGAGAGTACCAATCTGAGAGATTTTCGCTTTTTTTAGCCTCGAGGCCTAGTCTCGTTCCGGTCTTGCTGCTCGATTCGTCTTCCTTGTGGTTCTCGTGCTTCTTTGCACCGTTTCCCAGAGATGGCTTGGCAACTTGGGACAGTTTCTGACTCTTTGCCTTAATCTCGCGCGATGCCTGACCACCACCACCCACTGGCACGTAGTCTTTGCCAAATGTTTCTTTGTACTTGAGCTTTAAAGCTTTAAGGATCTCGATCTCACGATCGATAACCGATTTCTCGGCTTTTTTGGCTTTGAGTTCTCGAACCATGCAACCTTGATCACTTATATGCTGCTCCAAATTCGAATTATCGCCACTAGACTCTTTTTTATTGCCCGACACGTCCAAGGGCACCCAATCTTTTCCAGTCAACTTTTTATAATCATTTTTTAAATTCATTAGAATCGCAACTTGTTTGGTTACGGTCACTGCATCGGGTTTTGAGTATTTTAAATTAACTATAACATCATTTTGCTTTTTTATCTCTTGCGACAAGGAAATGGCATTACTGTCGTCTACCATTTTTTTATTTTTTGAAATCACAGAGTTTGCTTCCGGAGCTTTTTCGTTTGAAACCTAAAAATCATTATGTATGCAATCAAGTCAGTCACACGCAATCAAATTCTAAAACTTTGCGTATTTACTTTTTTCGGAGCCAAAGCTGGCGATTTGCAGTCGGGCTTCCACTCTTGGTCAGTGAGACTTTTCCACTTTGCTTTTAAATCGACAAGTATCTTTACTGCAGCATCAATTTCAGCTTTATCCACTTTATCCAATTTTAATTTTCTAACTATATTGCCTTGGGCAGTTATAGCTTTGCTCAACTTGTCGACTTCATCTTCATTTTTATGGTGCTAAGAATAATAAATAAACAACAAACACATACGATGGACAAAAATAGGTAAGTTAAGTAAAAGAAGTAAAAAATCAAGAAGAAGCTGATTGTTTTATAATTACAGCTGACGTAGTCTTTACAGCAGGCGGATCATTACTAGGTTTCCAGTCTTGACCCGTGATTGATTTATAATTAGCTTTAAGATTCAAGAGTTTTTCCACATCGGCAGAAATTATAGCTTTGTCAGCTTTGGCACTTTTCAAATCTCGAATTTTGTTCCCTTGAGCTATTATTTTTTCGTTTAATTCAATAGCTGAAGCGTCCGTTTTGGTGACCTATTAAATTAAGGATGAGTAATATTTTTATTTTTATAGTTTAAACTATGTTATCAGACAATAGAAAAATTAAGAAATTTTTTTTCGTCAATTCGACATAAAACTTTGATAGACACAGAGCATATGGAATGAATACACGTCGAAAGTAGAAGGAATCAAGCGTGATTGGTCATTGCCACAAACAACATATAAGGCCCTCCTTTCTCCTTTCATCCTTTCCCTTTTCTTGCTTGCGCGCACACACAAACACACCACTGATATATATATATATGTTAATCAAGTGTAGGGAAATGAAATTACGTATAGTCATACCTTTGAGACGGTTGATTTGTCCGCAGCACCAGGCAAAGCGATGGTACTGTGACCATCAGGTATATGAAATAGAATTAAAGGTTGCTCGCGCGAAGAGTGAGCCGTGGCCTCTGCGTAAGGAAGGTCGCAGCGGAAAAAGCCTTTTCTCTGCAGTTGAATGATCTCTCCGTGTTTGACTCTTTGTAGCTCAGTTTCTCCAAACATTTCGATTTCTCTCTGCAAAAATGAAAAAAGAGTAAAAATAAAAAAAATAAATACAAAATTGAAAAAAAAATAGAGGAAAATATTTGCCCACCCTCGTGTCTTTGGCGACAAAGTCCTTGAAATCGTCATCCTTGGCTAAAACGGGCTTGGTAATAATGTGATCAAAGTAAACGGCGTAGCACGGAATCGCACTCTTGGACGTCTCGGATTTGTCAGCAGCTATCCAAGTCAGCTTCAAAGTATTTTTAAAATCTTTGTTGTCAAGATTCAAAGACGCATCCACTTTGATGATTTTGCCGTTTGCATTCTTTTCGATATTTTCTATCATGAGATTGCCCCAATTAATGAAAGTTGCGTTTTGACCTTGTTTCAAAGCTTGAGCGTCCTCCTCCTCGATGAGTATGTTTGGGGACACGCGCACCTGCTTCGTACCGATGGACGGATCCTTTGGGTGATTAGGAACCGTGAGAAATCCCTCAACGGCTCCCTTGACGTGGACGGGCACCGTATCACCAACGGTGAGGGCTGTGTACCTAACGGCCACGGGATCAATGACCTTTTTGTTAAAAGACCATATTTTATCCCACTCCATAAAGACGACGGATCGCGAACTGCCCTGGGCAATGATAAACTGCTTTAGACCCTCGACGGTCATTCCCCTGCGCAAGATTCCTCGCACGGTCGGGAAACGTGGATCATCCCAGCCGTCGACCAATCCCTCGGCAACGAACCAGGTCAGCTTTCGCTTCGAGAGCACAGTGTTGGTCATATTGAGCCGGGAGTATTCATAAATATAGGGACGATGCAGCCCAAGAGCGTCCACGAACCAATAAAATTGCTCATCTCTGTCATGATACTCGGTCGTCCGTAAGGTATGCGTGACACCCTCGATCGCGTCGACGATCGGACAGGCAAAGTCGTAAGTCGGATAAACCTTGTACTTTGTTCCCGTCTTTGGATGAGATTCTGGCTTGCATCTGTAAATCGTGGGATCGCGCAGACAGCCGTTTGACGACTGGTAATTGATTTTAGCCCTGACACAGCACTTTTGACCCCTCGTCGAGCCTTTAATCATTTCACGCCAGAGCTCCAAATTTGCCTCAATTGTATTATCTCGGTTGACCGATGGAAGATTCTGATCTCTTTGCTCTTTCATCCGTTCGGCTGGAGTATCGTCGACAAAGGCTTTCCCGTTTCTTATCAACTTTTCGCAATAATCCAGCATCAGGTCAAAATAATCGGATGTATGCGTAAAGCGGTCAGGCTTTATCTGTAGCATTTTGAGATCTTCTAGAATAGCTTTTTCAAACTCGACGTTTTCCTTGGCAGGATTCGTATCGTCAAACCTCATGATGAGTTTTCCCTCGAAATGGTCTGCATAGTATTGATTTAATAGGGCGGCCTTGGCATGTCCAATGTGCAAGTAACCACTAGCTTCGGGAGGAAAACGCACGACAACCTTTCCTTTTTGGGCACCAGGTAAATCAACAAATTTGGCTTGCTCCTTTTTTTGGGCCGTTTTTTGAGCAGCAACAGTTTTAGAATGAGAAACGGCGCTCCCTTTGGCCTCTTTGCTACCATTTTTTGAGGCAATTTCCAAGGCGGTTTCAACTTCCGGTAATGCTTGAACTTGTTTGTACCATCTGTACAAATTTGGATACCTTTCTTTGTGGGAATCAATATTATTGGCTTCTGACATTAATTCCGAAAACAGGCAAATGTCTGCGATGGTCAGGTGTTTTGCTACCAACCACGTTCTCGTCGATAACACAAGATTCAAATAAATAAATACATCTGTTGCTTCGTTCTTGGATTTCAAACGATTCCCAGAAAATGTCAACCAGTGATCCACTTCTGAGCGTACAAAAGCATCACTGCTGCCTAAAAAAACAGCTTGTTGGTGAAAATCTTAAATATAATAATAATGTACGCTTGAAATTCTCACCATAAAGATCGTCATTTCTTGCTCTTGACAAATATCTGGCAACGCTGATGCCTGTATCTCCCAGGAGCTTGCCATTGCTGCCAAATAGTTGAAGCTTGGCTGGATTCTTTCCGAAATCATTGGACCAAACGATTTGGAACTCGGAATTAAGTTTGGACTTGACAAGTTCAACCGTTGCTAAAGTTTCTGCAAATTAAGAAATATTGTTGCTCTTACTTAAAGCTTGCCACTGTAAATACATTCTTTTTTCAAATACATGTTATTAAAGTCACGTGTGCGATAGTATTTGCGTATATATGATTCAACAAGTAAATTTGTTATTTAAAATAATACTGAAAAACGTATACCAATCGGAGGATTAGCCGCATTGATGACGAGTTTGAGCTGCATCATAAAGATGGACACAAATTACTCTTGGACACTTTAAAACGTGATTGCGCGCACACCGTGATGACCATATAATATCTGTAGTACTGTTATAAGTTACAAGTTTTGAGGAAATAATCAAAAATTATGTATGAGATAGATAAAGCAGAGAAAAAAGAAGGGTATCATTAGTTATATACTATTACTAGTACTAAGACTGTCTTACATGTATAAATTACCTTGCTTCAGGTTTAGGTTATATTGCGAACTTTGGCTTTTCGCTTCTGATATATATATATATATATATATATATATATATATCGACCTGAAAGAGGAANATAAGTTATTATTATATATAACACATACATATATATATATATGTATGTGTTACACACTAAAAATAACTTATACTCAGTAATGGCTAGGTATAATTATTATTATATATATATGATAAAGCGGACAGCGGACCTAGCCTATACGTCATATGCTGCAGCTGTAAAAGTAATTCGAGTACCATGTTAAATTTTATTACCGAATATACTTGTAACATTTAATCAATGAGTTATGTTTTTTTACCGGACACTCAGTTTTTTAAGACATGTTATCATAAGACCACTGGAGTGCAGCAATCAAACACGATGTTACTCTGTACCTGGTAAGCCACCTTATATTTATCCAAATAGATTAAAGCGTGCATTGTATAACATCTTCGGAAGAGTTGATTTGTGTTTCTGGACTCTGGTAGTAGTTAGTTATAAAAAAAATACTAATTTTTCGCATCTTAAAGTTTGTTAGTTTTTTTTTTTTACAACAGGTGTTGCAGGGAAGATTAAAAAAATTGGCAAAAAAGGTCCTGCCATAGAAAAAAAAGTATTGGATGTAGAAACGGATGTTGACAAATTATTAAAGTATTGCTGCGGCACGAATATATTGAAAGAAGGTGGCCAAGATGTCGAATTAAAACCAGATTCAGAATATCCAGATTGGCTGTGGACTATCCGAACTGGACCAGCTCCACCGCTCGAAGAGCTTGATCCAAATACCAAAGTATACTGGAGGAGGCTTAGAAGAGAGGGGCTTAAAAGAAACAACATGCTAAATAAGCTAAAACCTTTTTAATTTTCATTAAACAAGACAGAGTTTTTGAAAGATTAAATGCTGTAAGTGATGATATTTTGTTATTAAATTTTCTTAGTAAAATTTTTTCTTTTCCAAAAACTTGAAACCAATAATTACCAATACTCATTCTCACCATGGCTCATGTACCGTTTAATGTTGTCTTTTATTGTTTCATTGATTATTATATCGCAAGAAAGATTTCTTTTTCAATTTATCTTGAATTTTTCAAGCTAGCAAAAGTTTTCGTATCCTCTACATTTAAGTATAAATATGCGAGTATACATTGAATGAAAAAAAAAAATTTAACTGGACGTGATGGCCTATTTTTTAAATATTATTGAATGAGGTATCAAAAACTTTTGCGGGAATAATTATTTATAGAAAGTATTTATGCATTCATGATTAAATCTAATATACTTTTTGGCCATCATTTTTCATGTTTTTCATCAAAGTAATTTAAGCACAATGAAACTCTTGAATCACCGTTTCTACTCGTTGTCTTGATACATCATTGCAAGGCAATTCTGAAAAAAAAGAAATACAACTTCGATGGATAAAAAACAAAAATGCAGTTATGATTATAAACATAAAATATCAAGAATGAAATTTTTCACCAACTTGTATTTGTAGGAAAAAATTTTCATGGCAACTAAAATAGTTTTACCTATCCATGTGCTAGACTGTATTTGTTTTCACTGTCAATGAGTTTGGTGTTATTTGCAAGTTGAACATGACTCTTCTAATTGAACGATGTGTGGAAGCACTGCTTTGAATCCACTTTAGTTTTCTCTTTCGTATTCAGCAGTCACGACCTTTACAATCATAACTTCGATTGTTACAAGCAAAAAAAGTACAACAAACGTTGCCAAGCTATACTCCTCTTGACTCGATATGACTCTGTCGCTTTTTATCGCCACCAATGTTAGAAAAGATGTTGCAGTAACTAGCATTTTAAAGGGTAACAAAGAAAAAAGAAAAAAAATAAAACACAAGCAAAAGCGCCTGTTAATGTAACTTGAATGCCATCAGCTCTGGGTTTTTTGGCTCATAAAATCTAATAAGTCGTACAACAATAAACGGCAAACTTATGGGAAAAAAATAAAAAAATAAGAAATATAAAATTGGTAATTTCACGAGGGGAAAAGCGAGCGATTAAAAAATTTACTCACGAGACTGTACAATCGCATGAAAAACATTTCTCATTTAATTGAGATCTGCAATCAAGTATATAAATATTTGTTTATTGAGGCTGCCATTACTTTGTGCAATTACGTTATCGTAAATATTAAAAGCTGCACTCGTTTATTTGAAACTTTTACAGTAGATAAAAAATACACAAGATTTTGCATTAGACGGCAAACACACCAACTGAGTTTTGAAGAAGAAAAAAAAAGCACAACATAATATACGTATTTGCGCGAGTGTTGAAGATTTAATAGTACAAGTATTGTAAATTTTTTGTTTGCACACCATGCAAAACCTATGCAGAGATAAGTATCAAAGGTATATCAAGTCAAAAGCGGCGGCAGCAACTGTTTGAAAGTGTAAGCGGTGGGTAACTAATATAGGTCGAGAAACTCGGACCCGCAGTTAAAGAAGGAAGCATGTGGAATCGGGTAAGAGGTAACTCTTACGTCATGGTGGTGGATTACTTGAGTAACGCCTGTTGCACCGATGTAAGATGTAAGACTTTGATCGAGTGCTACTTTCACTGGAATTGAAACTCTTTGTCTGTATACGTTATAAATTATTACGTTTTTCTCAGCATCTGCAATACCTGCATACATGCATTTTACATGAGAGTGGATACTACCATATTATTGTATACTTTTGACTTTTTAACGTAAATATATTTAAAACTGTAATTATTGCACAAGTTTGTTGTCGAATTCAATATGTCGGTGAGATGCTGCAATTGACGCGTTTCTTTGGTACCTATAGATCTCAATCATTTGTATTATATAAAAATTAACATGTTATGTATGTATGATCCTTTATCATCAAAGTTGGTTTTCTTAATACGTATGGGCGGTGTGTAGGTGTGATGGGAAAAAGAATATTAGTTGATTAACAGAGTTGAAAAGTTAACTTAAATTTGATCATTAACATTTATGCTTCTAGAAGATAAACATGAGTCGCGAATCGGGTAACCTGTATATACTGGTAAAAAGTAAATAAAACCATGAAAATAATTGTTTCAATAACCCAATAACCTTAGGATATAATCGGAATACCAAAGTATTCATTGTTCAAATCGATAGAGAGGGGTGCGAGGTTGGTGTCACTTGTTACTTTTTTTTTTTTTTTTTCATACATGCACAAAAAGGTGGGAAAATTCTGCAAAATTTTTAACATGGAGGGAAAAATGTGGCTATGGTTAATTTACACACAGCAAATGGCTGCAAATAAGGCACGTGCAGGTAGGGCGCTTTTTTAATACTTAACGTTCTCCTCTTTGTTTTTGCCTTCAAACAAACAAACAAAATCGTTTGTTTTATCAAATTTACATAAATATATGCAAAATACCGAGGTATGCCAATAGAAATGAAGTTTTAAATATGATGACAATGAGACAAACATTAAGTATAAACCATCGGCACGTAATAGAAAGTCAGTGATAGGCCGTTATTATGTTGAGCAAGTGCGTGCGCACGCCTATTTTGCGTAGGTATTAAATAAATATGCAAGTACAGGATACCTACCTGCACTAATCTTTTTACTATTACAGCTTATATTTAAAAAAATCCCTGAACGCACCGTCACGGTACCAAGATAATTATCTTGTATCTGCTGGAAAATAGAAAAATTTGTGAATGTTAATCGAGGTGTTGCATTGGTCTTTTTTGGAGTCTTTTCACGTTTGTCGGTGTATATGTTATTACGCGGATACCAGGAATACACTTGTTTCAATTCAAAATATATATGTACCGAGTTTCAATGTAATTTTCTATAATCACGATTTATCCATCTATATCGGAATGAGAGAAAAAAATGTATCAACCCGACGTTTTATGGTAATTGATCATTTTTCCATGATATGTAATAAATTGAATAAGATAAAAATAAATTTTTACTCAAAGTCTACTATGAGTAGATTTTTCATGAAGGTCGAGTGTTTTTTTATGGAACAGCTCATCTAGATGGATGTATTTTATAAATGCCAAGAGGCGAGTCGAAAAGAGAAAGCGCCCCGGGTACGGCACTTGGGCATACCTACTGTGTTTAGCGCACGTTTACATATTATAGCTGCGCTTATAAACTTATATATATTGTATTGTATACATATATACTTACTATTAGTTACGAGATAACGTGGAAGACGAGAGATACTTATCTATATACGTTATAAAATATGTAGTCCCCTAGGTCCGTTTTATTGTCGTTTTAGTTTTCAGTCTGTGGCTCCAGCCAGCGAGTCTACACTTACTTTTCTAAGTAGTTTGGAATACAAGTTGAGAATACAAGTATATAAATACCCTCGATATAAGCTTTTAAAAGTGTTTAAATACAACAACGAATATCGATCTATATATATATATACCAGTGAGTGTTTGTAAAAATTATTATTACTAGTTACGTGTATAATATTACTTAACATATATTAATAATAATCTACCAGAGTGTAGGTATACGTTATGAGTGTATTAGCAGATGGTCTACTACAGTACTACTACTACTTATACTACTATACTTTATTTATATATATATCTCGATATGACTCTGTCGCTTTTTA